CGTTTGATAAGAAATTTCATCATGGTAGTTCACTGAATTCCAGCACAGTTTTTACACTTGCAAATCTGGGAAGATTGATGAGCAGAATTCAATATTTGATTATACTCCAAGAAATTGGCAAAAGGATTAGCAGGGAGTTGAGAAACAATAAAATTGTGACCTGTTTTGAAATATCGATGGTAATATGAATTGCATTTTATTTACTGATAAAAGGTGTGAAATTTTCTTCGCAAAATCATTCATTAAATACATACATTCATCAGATTAGCGTCAAACGAATCACATAATCAAAAATATCGATGACCGCCAATTTGTCGTGTATTTACATATCGCAACACTCATTGTATTGCAGATAGAAAAACGGACTTGAAATTTTGCTAAATTTGCGAAACTAACAAGAAGTTCCGAGGCATTTCTTCTTGTGTCTCTTCAAGCCGTACTTGTCGCTGAAGAATCTGTTGCAATTTTCGCATAGAGGTTTAGGTTGATGTTTTTCCTTGTGAGAGTAAAATGATGTGCTATGAGTGTACTGTTTTCTACAATTGGGTTCTTTACATTCGTAAATAAATGGTTTGCCGTGCGTTTTCTTGTGTTCTCTACATTCTTTGTAACTGTTCGTGTGAAAAGCACATCTGACATAATGACACTCATAAATTCGCTCTTCTGAAAAACGATAAAGTAGCCAGTTTTACTAATAATTACTGTTTTTATGATATTTTCTTCTGAAAAACTCCTCGTATAACATTTGGATTTGTAATTAGCACTCCATTACAGTATTTGCTAATTAATTAATGTAATTTGAAAACTGATCCTGGTAATGCACAAAATAAGCTTATCACATCATATTTCACTTGAATTACTAGAAAATATTCACTCTTTTAGCATAAATTAGGGACAAAAAGTTTTCCTTAATGGACGGATATGTAGAGCAGATAACTGTGAATTTTCTGCAGTAACGAAATCAGTTTCGTTCTTAATTTCTTGCAATCTCATTTTCACACGATTTTGTGAACTGTAAGAGTTGGAAGAAAAAGTCATTGAGTAATATCTTACCATTTATTCCAGGTGATTCTCTACCAGTATTGTGTGTGCTGGTATCTGAATTAAATGGTGATAAATTGCAGATGAGTTCAGGGAAGAGGTCTTTGTCAATGGTTATTCCCAACAATTCTCGATCAGTATTTTCCCGTTCGATATTATAAGCGAAGCCGTCTGTGACTTCCTGGGATTGGTCATCTCTTGTCGTTACCGTCATTTGTTCCTGGTCGCTCTTATATGTATCGTCATTATGGTCAGGCAATGTCTCCAAATTGTTGTCGACGATATCAGATGTATGGTAAAGGTTCAGACTGGCACCTGGGTTATAGCCAGGATAACGATATACGGGGGGATTAAGTGGAGAGAAAGTTTTATTATAAGCCAAAGTGACGCAAAGCAGAAGACTGAACCAAATGATCTGTGTCATTGACATAATGAAGAACAAGGTAAAATACAAAATTTTTAAAATGGTAGGAATGCTCGAATAGAAGCCTTTTTATATCACATTGAATGGAATTAAACGACCAAAGGTTCAAGCAGCTTTTGATCTGCACGATTAGCAGTATTTCTCATATTTTTTTCTCTTACATTCAAATTCCCTATCATTAACTCGATGGTTCATGAATATGATTTCAATCCCCGACGAAAGCCTCATGAAAGGGTTGCAGATAAATTGGGCATACAAAAAAATATGTTGAAAATAAATCCATTCATCAACGTGCATTCTCTTGCAGAGATGCAACAAGATTTTTTTTTTGTCTCCAGTTTTTATTACTATTAATTATACATTCAGAAATATTATATAAAACTGAGATTCAATCAATTCACTGCTATTTGCAGCATTAAAATGACTGAAATTAAGGGAATATCTGTCTGCTCTGCAATCATAAATCAGAAAGAATGGAAGAAATGTTGGTTGGAGTATTATAATCGCTGATCACTGTCCAAAAAAAAGAATGATTGAAAGAATGTGTCATAATATTCCTAAATAGCTGTATGAAACACATCATTTTGCTATGACTTATTCCGTATTTGTACAGGAAGCATTAAAAGAATATAATGTACAAAAATTGGTTGGAAGTTGACCAGAAATCCTGAAAGTGATACAAAGGGTGTAATATTTGAATGAATGGAAAGTGGTGGATAGTTTGCATTAAAGGATTGAATGGATTTTTAATCTATACAGTACTGAATAATCCTACTTGTGTTCTTTAATCAAATATTGGAACTGAATGATTTGCATATTGCTACGGAAATTTTTAGTTAATTTCTCTTTTAGCTATTTTTGCCATATAATGTCAAATCATGGTATTTTATAAATATGATTCATTTTTCATTAAAGAAATTGATAAAATACGAAGGCCTTGTTCATTTGCAAAGACGATCATTGGGATGACGAATGTCAAATCTACCAGACAGCAAAGCAACGAATGGAGCGTTTGAAAATAATCGAGGCGTGTCTGAAATGCTTACAAAAGGGCCATAACGATTCAATTCTATTTGTTGCTATTTTAAGCTGTGGTCACAAAGTTTTAGTACAAAGGAATTGCTCGGCACATATTTCTACTTCATCTCGACTTTCAGCCCATTTTTTAAACCATTTTCATGAGATTTTATTTTGCCTTACTTTTGATATATACGTGCAAATATATCTTTAATGAAAAATGAATCATATTTATGAAATACCATGATTTGACATTATATGGCAAAAATTAGCTGAAAGAGGAATTAACCAAAAATTTCCATAGCAATATGCAAATCATTCAGTACCAATATTAGATTAAAGAACACAAGTAGGATTATTCAATACTGTACAGATTAAAAATTCATTCAATTCTTTTTATGTAAACATTCACCAGTTTCCATTCATGCCAATATTACACCCTTTGCATGCATCATTCTAAATTTTAATTTTAAACCTTTCTGTCACATGAATTCGAGTATCAAGCGAATCTGGAAGTCATGGTGACCGTAGCAGTAAAGCAAACTGCTGAAATTTAAGATCTTATCAAAGCTAAAAACCGAAAATTTCTATAAAGACAATATGCAAATTATTCAGCACGAATATCAGATTGAAGGACACAGACAGGATTATCTAATACTGCACAGATTTTATTTCGAAAGCACTCCCCGAATCGTTCACTTACGAATGCAAGCAATCCAACTGTGAACGAAAATTCAGTTATTAATCATCATTTGCCTATCACATGGACACATGTCAACCTAAATTTCAATGCAGATTACATGGTAGATTCGTCAGCACTAAGGATACCCTGCAAAAATACCAGAAGTTCTGCGCCGGAGCTTCTTGCCAGTTTTACAAGTTTAGCACATTTTTCTATCTGAAATAGCAGAATGCATATGAAAATGTACTGCACAACATCCGCGACCATGGAGGAGCAATGCAAAATTCAATAAATATTGCAATGCAGAAAACGAAGCCAAACTACGGCAAAATGTTCATTTGTTTTGGCACGGTGAGGCAACATTTTAAAAATATTCATTCTAGACCTAACTGTAGCACATCCACAGGAACTATACTTCGGGAAATATACGAAAAGTTGTTTATGTGTCAGAAGTTGGGTGACATGTTCAGTGTTATCACCAAGCAGATGAAAAATTTATAATCTCATCTTAACATTGGTTTTTTACTCTGTTTTGTTTTCGTTCTTCTTATCATCCACATACATCATGACAACAATTATAGCAGAAAATTATTAGCAGAATTAGCTACGTTTTTAAAATTAATTTTAATTAAAAATCAAACTGTTTATCCTATCCTTTATGATTGCTTGATGTCCAGTGTTAATTTATCAGCCAAATGATTTAAGTATAATAATATCTGACGGATTTCTCGATGAAATATTTTTTGCTTTACAACAATAACTTACTACTTTAATTCTCTTCCGTATGACAGGACTATACGAAAAAACGCATATTTTTTGAGATGAAAATACATTTGTAATCCTTTTTGTTGGCACTTTTTATTTTGATGATAAATGCTACTTCAATTTGTCCTGTCAGGTCATTTGACCAAAGAGCTAAAAGTGAAAGAATATGGGTTGTGACAATAACTAATATTGCCCACTATTACAGGTAAGCTAAGGCAAGGTATTTGTCAACATTTTAACACTTGTTTTTTGAATGACCTAATAAACACTTCGTAATATTCCCTTTCGTTTCCTTTCAGAATATTTAACGTCTTTTGGCGAGATTTAGGCACTTCGGAGGTAATAATGAATAAAAAAATCAATTATAAAGAATCAGTGACCAAATATGCAAAGTAATCGGCTCTCACACAAGACTAAATGTGCAGATTTGAAAATTTTCGTACATACATCATGCGTACGTGCACTTGCGTAAACCACGCTATCAAAACAACATTTTCATTTTTTTTGCTAAACTCGTTTAAAACTTGGAAATTTTCTCGGATAAATGACTTTTTGCCATTTCTGAATTCAAGTAATCAAGTTTTTTGATTCTGCTGATAAATCAAGAACAAACAGCTTCAAGTAACACGAAATGAAAATTCAAGTTTCAAGTTTCAAATTTTGATTTACGTTTTTAGCGAGGCTTTTAGTGGGATTTAAAATAGATCTGTTTTGTTTTAGACCTATTTGGGCCAGTTATAATAAAGGAGAATCATGTCGATACCAAATGATAAGTGGCTCTGTCCACATTCTGGTACTCGAGTTGTGCATCTCGAAATAGTGGAAACAATGTCTGCAGAATAATTCGTACAAGCATTACAAAGATTTATAAGCCAAAGAAAACAACCGAAGCACATAATTTCTGACAATGCCAAGAATCTTATAGCACTTTTCAATGTACTTGAAAGAATTAACTACAGTGAAAAGTAAATGATAGAGTCGAAATTCATTATTCCTCTCTTAGCAGGGTGGCATTTACGAAAGAATGGTTAGAGTAGTTAAAGGATCTTTAAGAAAAACCATAAGTACAAGATTTCTTAACAACGAAGAATTAATAACTTCACTCACCAAAATTAAAGCGACTATCAACAAAAGAGTCTTGGTAAATCTGGAAGAAATGGGTTTAGTGTTAAAACTTGGAATTTCTTGAATTTAGGCTCAGCTCGAGGAGAAAATTTGACAGAAGGAAGGATTGATCCAATAATGTCGTTGTCTTCTTCATGAAATCCCTAAAAAGAGGCTATTACGATGATACAAAAATTCCCATGAATAATGATGTATCGATATTTCTCAATATATTTTTACTTTGCAATTACTATCATTTCTAATTTACACAATTCCCGGACTTTACTTGAAATAAGTATATGAATGATGGAGGAACGGAAAAAAAATGTAATTTTTACAATTTTTGATCTAATTTCCCAATAAACACAATCTGAGATTTACAGACCTGTAAAGTACACGAAATTAGCACAATCTCCGGTAAAAAACATAACCTGGATTATGGAATAAACAACTTACTTTGAGGACATTTATTATGGGATCACAATTTTCATGGAGGATGCTTCGAGGTGCTTTGCTATGGTGCACAGCGCGATTATCGAAATTCGTTTTATTGGTTGTTTTTCCGGATTGTTTTTGAGTAAAACCGGAAATCATAGCTTGAGAATTTGCAGATCTCGACCCAGTTCCAAAAAAAGAATGAGTTCCAGAAGTGATGCATATGATACGGTTAAGCGAGGCCCGATAAAATTTAAAGGAAATAAATCGTTGTAAATTTTCGAACTTTTTTGTTTTCGCTTTTTCCAATTTTCTAAAATATTTTTACTTTTGAAAACTATTCTGGAAGTGTTTCTATATGACGAAGCATTCATAGTATTTATGAATTTTAAAGTTCAAGATTTTGGAAGATTTATTAGTTTAAAAATGCGACGATTTCTTCTTGTGCTTTTTATAAATAGCAATCTTTCTGCAGGTTCAAATCTGATAAGTCCGCAAAAAGGAAGAAATTGGAAAAAGGCAGTGGTACAATGACAAATCCGGACATTGAGATTCATGGTAAGTGACTTGCATCCTGAAATAGGCAAACCTTTCGAATCGGAGGAAAATAGAATCTGAAATAGAAAATGCTTTCGTGTGTACGGTCATTAGTAATTCTTCGGTCTTTCGGAATATCTTTTCTCAGTAGCAGTTTTTGTTGGGATTGTTTGATCAACAACTGTTGCTGTAGGGCGTTCTATGATATCTTTGCTATTAAATAACCGGTTACATCCTTGCAATTGTTTAAATATCTAAATTCATTCTTTGGGCAGATTTATCTGGAACGAATAGAAATATTCTTTTCCAAATAAATATGCCTATATGAATTTTTGGAATGATCATTCAGCAAATGTTCGTCGATGTTAATTGCTTGCAAGTGCCAAGTTACAGTGTATTGGGTACAGCTGCATCATCACTATTACTTTAGCAGATTTTCTCAAATAGTTTTTTTTATATGGTTTGCTTTTTCAATGCAAAATATGTCCAGATTATTCGTGTAGTGGAATTTAACTTATAACATCAAACGTAAATTGTTTCGGTTAGTGCACCTTCCAATTAGCAAGTAGTTGATTTTTAAATGGCTCAAGCATACCTGAAACAAACACCGGACTGCTTGACCGGTAAAGAATTCAGGTATAATTCAAGTTTAAGTATTCTCTGCTGTATTTCTATTCATTGCTTATTTATTGTTTTATCACTTCCAATCGTCGTTCATTTCATAACCGACATTTTTTCAAGCTGTAACCATCCACAATAGTGTTGCTTTCTCTGAGCTTTCTGGATATTATCAAGATTTTTCTGCTTTCACTTTGTTCACTTTTACAGGTGGATGGAGATCAATAGATAATGAAACTGATCTTCGGGGTGGTATAAATATATGCATCGAATGTAATACAACGCCGGGAACATACCTAGCTGCTATGGACAACGGCAGATTCACAATTGGTGGACCACACTTGGCTGGCGAAGGACCAAATCCAGAAGAAGTTAGTTGCTTAGTAAATGTAAAATAAGGGTAGTGTAAGGTATTTATAGATCGTATGCGTTATTATTTTGTAGATATGATAGAAGTCATCTATTTTTGGAATTTTTTATAAACTTATGAAGTTATTATTTTCACCAGTTACTGTCTATTTGCATAGTTCCGATTATCTTGTCATTAATGGATGTGATAAGTGAAAATATTAGGCATTAGGCAACGTGCTATATTTTTAGAAGTAAGAATGGTGTTTATCATCTTCAAATTGAAATACTGTACACCATATGATCTATTGTGGGGAAAATTTGGGTCGTGATAAATCATGTATTGCAATAAGCTAGCAAGAATCTTCATTAATTTATAAAATTATTTTTAGATACTTACATTAATAAAAGCACCAGATGACATGCTTATCAGCATGAAAACAGGTTTCGGGAAGTATATTGGCGTGGATTCAGAAGGGAACCTTATAGCTACAGCTGATGCTGTTGGTACGAGGGAACGAATGATTGTTGTCTTCCAGGAGGTATATTTTCATCCATTAAAATTAAAATGTTTTTAATTTTTAGAGTTGATTAAATAACTGAATTCTGTTCTGTGAATCAAATTTTTTGCTTACTCTGCTGCATTATTATTCCGATCGTAGGGCAAAACCGCAATACAATCTGCTTCGAACAATCTCTTCTTGAGCATGAAACCCGATGCTGAAGGTTACGTACGTGTTATAAGCCGGAAGGCGGAAGCTAATGAAATGATAAAGGTGCGTTGTTTTCAAAGGAACCTAAAGTACAAAGGGCTTATATGGCTATAAAATATACTGGGTATTTTTCATAGTTATGTATATTATTTCCTTCAAGTTTGGACAAATATAAAGATTTGGACTTCACGGCTTAAATTTAAGTTTGCGTTTTCAGTATTTTATTATCAGAAGCAATATTTGCAAAAGTTATCGCTGTATTAGATCTGAATTTCGAGGTTTTTTTGGCATTTGCAGTTACGAACCGATGCCAAGAAAGAAGGACCTGTTGACTGGCGTTCAGAAGAAGATAGGAAATCCGCTGCTGAATGTGAAACAAGTTATGTGTACGTATTTTTTCCTTTTATTTTGAATTTCCAAAAAAATTGGTGAAACCGTAAATTTCTGGACGTATTCCTAAATTCTTTAGAAATTAAGACTTCGGGAAAAAATCTCCCTTCATCCTTTGGTCTTAAATCTATTTCGTATCAAGAGCTGATTTTGTGTCGTATATTCCGCTTCCTTGTCGTATGAGAAGTATGGCTGGTTTTCTGGCTTTCGCTAAATTTACTAGCATCTGTTTGCAGGAAAATGTACCAACATTCGAAAGTTGCCGTAAAAGGAAAGTACATAAATATCAACTTGGACGACAAAGAGTCCGTGCGTCGCGCCCAACAAGAAGGCAATTTGCATGAACTGTTGTTAGAACGTCGAGTTAAAACAAAAAGCGATAAATATTGCTAGTTTTTTGATATGTTTGAAATATTACCATCTACAAGCAAAATATTAATGTAATATGTTAGCCATTGTACTGTTAGCTTGCTCAGTCAGTGGTTTAAAAGTTACGTGAGAAGGGACGAACCATGTCAAATATCAAATATTCAATGTACATTTGAATATATTAAGAAATATTGGTGAGAATACCCTCTAATTAATAAAACAATCATCGCCTGTCATTTGAGACTACAGATTATCTTCTTAAGTGTTATGCGTTCATAAAGATATAAATTGGCCATCGCATTGCCATTTTTTGCATCCGCCAAGAACTGCTGTAAGAAGAAATTGACTAGAAACGATGAAATCGTCAAAGCATTCCGTCCAGTACATTCACTGCTTTCCGGACATTCGCGATTTTCCATTTCTAAATTGGATAATCCTC